GATTCCTGTGAACACTTGGTATTATTGGTGTTTTTATGTAGCCAATCGGTTTAGTAGTTGTGAAATTGTCTCATCATGGCTTATTTCCATTTGTGCTTTCTTTAGGATTGCTTATATATATATATATATGTGTGTGTGTGTGTGTGTGTGTGTGTGTGTGTGTGTATGTATGTATATGTATATATATGTATATATGAGAAGTAGGCTATGGTCAAAGTCAATCACAAGAGTGACGAAATAAAGGACTTGCTAGTCTGGTGGCCTTCAGAAGACGCACTTTTGCCGCAGATGGCCATCTGAAAATATTACAAATGTTCCTCCATCCTGGTATGCTCCTGAGAGCTAGTTTAGGAGCTTCTGTTGCTGTGAAGAGACACCATGACCATGGCAATTCTTATAAAGGAAAACATTTCATTGGAACTTGCTTACAGTCCAGAGGTTTAGTCCCCTGTCATCATGGTGGGGAGCATGACAGCATGCAGGTAGACATGGTCCTGGAGAAGGAACTGAGAGTTCTAAATCTGGATTCAGATCTGCAGGCAGCAGGGAAAGAGAGAGCCACTGGGACTGGCTTGAGCATCTGAAATCTCAAAGCCCACCCCTAGTGACACACTTCCTCCAACAAGGCCACACCTCTTAATCTTTCTAAGTAGTGTCTCTCCCTGATGACCAAGCATTCAAATCTGTGAACCTATGGGAGCCCTCCCTATTCAAACCACAACAGGGGACAAACAGCAAACAAGCACTCATTTTGCTGAGAAGATGGCCAGGAAGCAGAAGGGAGGAAGAAACTTCAGGGACAACTTCACCAGAGCCCACACTGCCCCCAGGCAGAATGCCTGACTCTCTAGGGTTGTCATTACGATGATTTTAGTTATTTGATTGTTTACCAGTGTGTGTAGTGTGCTATGTGTGTTGAGCTGTGTGTATGCTCTTCTGTGTACCTGTCTGTGTTGGGGCTCGAGGTAGATGTTGCAAGTCTTTCCTGGATTACTGCCCATCTTTGTTTCTTGAGACAGGGTCTCTTGCTGAACCCGAAGAGGATGGACATGGTTAGGCTGGCTGACCAATGAACTACGGGACCTCCACCATCTGCCTCCCCAGGGCTGGGATTCTGGGCATGCATTACCTTGCCTGCTCTTTGACATAAGTGCTGGGGATCTGAACTCAGGGCCTCACGCTTGCACAACAGGCCTTTCGCTGACTGACCCATCTCCCCAGTCCTGCAGCATGAGCCTTAAACACATCTCACAAAACAGCACAGGTCCACAAAGAGTAGTCGAGAATTACGAGGACTTATTTTGTGAGTATTTTTAAATATATATCTTTTATTAGTAAATTAATTTTTTTAAACTATATTTTCTCATTTTACATACCAATCCCAGTTCCCACTTTCTCCCTTCCTCCCGGTCCCTCCACCTTCCGTCCAAACCATCCCCCATCCACTCCTCTGAGAGGGTAAGACTTCCCAGTGAGCCCTACTTCCTGAAGAGGACCCACATCAGGATTGGTTGTAGACTAAAGCTGATGGAACCCTGCTCTAGGATACACCTCACCTGCCAACAGCATCACCTTGCCAAAATGGCCAAGGTGGTGCTGGAGGGAAGTCAAAACCTCGAGGCCAGCTGCAAAACTCCACCGCATTTTATACAGTTGTCCCCTGGGATGGGACGTGGACATGCTCTCTTAATTTTGTCTTCGTTTGCATGTTTATTTTCAGATTTACCGAAGATGTTTTTGTTGTTGTTGAAAACCATAAAAAAAACCAACAACTCATTCAGCATCATGGTTCCTATTAGGAAAGCCCCAGTTGCTGCTCTTTTGTTGTTTCTCTTGCTGCCACGGTCACTCCACAAGACACTGAGGCCTGGTCAGTGTGCCCTCTGTCCACCCACCTCCCAAGTTTGAGGCAATCGGGAAAGAAGAGATGGTATTCCACAGTCAAGGTTGGTGGGACTTTTATACGTGCTTCAATCTCTTGTCCAAAGTTTGGCCCTTGATCTTGGAGCAGTAAGAGAAACCCCCTTTGGGAGGTCTCTATGGATTGGTACCCAGCCTACGAGTTCTAAGGCTATCATCTCAGATGCTAGGGTCTGCCTTGTTAGAAGCAGACATCCCCAAATACTTCCAAGTATTCAACCTACAGGCCATTCTTATTTACATCAGTCCCTGAAATTTTTCAAACCTTGGATTGTTGATGAATGCGTGTGCGTGTGTGTGTGTGTGTGTGTGTGTGTGTGTGTGTGTGTGTGTGTGTGTGTGTGTGTGTGTGTGTGTGTGTGTGTGTGTGTGTGTGTGT